ATATACGCATTAGGTTCTCTCAAACACCAAACACTTCTCTAAACACTTCTGTGTCAAACCATGTCTCATTCTTCACTAACTTCTTTAGTGCATCTTTAGACCCTCTTCCACATTAGAAACATCATCAAAAATTGAATGCTTTGATTCAGGTAAAAAAGCTTCAAACAAAACTGATCATTTTGCTCGCAATTCCTAACCAAACCACATTTCCCCAGAACGCAGCTGGTGAAGCTGGGGCCTGCCCTGAGTTGTGTTTTGGGTCTGTCCCTACCTTGATGGCGGTGGAGGCGATCTGGATGTGGTGCAGGCGGCGCAGGGTGCTGTCCCTGTCGATGAAGTAGGAGGCTGCCAGCTGGTGCAGGGTCTCCAGCGTCACCGCAGAGCTGTTGCTGCTGGGGTCGCTTCCTTCCGACCTCTTGCTCAGCTTCCGTTTGTCCACAAAAATTGTGAGTGACTCCTCTCCTGGGCAGGGAAACAGAAGCCACACAGGCATCAGCAATGTCCAACAGTACAGAGRTTCTGTGCACAYTCAGCTCGAAGCACATATAMAATATGTTTCTTTCCAAGGTCAYTTAATACATCCATTTCATAGTGTTYAATGTTARCATAAAAGAAAATGAAACCAGMGTAATTCTTGAGACTTCTGTTYGTTTCCTTCCCTTATAACCCCTGCCATAGCTGATTTSAGGAGAAAGATACCTTGCTCCCCCTTATTATGAGCAACTGTGTGCTTTCTAATCAATTCAGCAATGCCTGAAATCTGATAGAACAGTTGCCCTAAACCAAATTTCTATAACTGAGAAGTGTGGGGGTTTTTGGAAAGTTGGTGTTTTTCCAAAAGAAAATAGAAGCTCCAGTATCTTGTGTTGTATATTTCCCACTTCCTGTCTCTTTATAGAGGGTAAATACTTTGCATTTCAGACATTTTAATTTCTGTAAGATTATTGAAAATCAAAAACAAATCTAACTTGTTTAATTGAGTGAGTTTTTAGGAATATTTCCAGAACAGACTTACAGATACTGTCAAATTTCCAAGTTTATTGTCTAGTTCATGGATACCTTTTCCTGTATTTCAGGCTAAGCAAGAATTAATTCATTTAGTAAAGTGTTTAGGCAAAACTGTTTACTTCAGAAAACAAATTGGAAAGGTAATTTCTTGACCCAGTATTTTCTTCTATGCAATTTATGTCCCAAATAACTACAAAAGCACTTTTCTCACTCTCTCAGCCTGTGTTTGGTAACCTGCATTCTTYAACACTTAGCTCAGCAATTGATTGATAATGTCATTATACCTGGGKTTTAGGTGCTGAACAACTCCACTGAGTGCCTTTTCCTTGTTCCTGGAAAKGGAGTTATCCTGCTAAGGTCTGACTTGCCACTTGTGCTACTTTCACTGCTCACCCATCTGCTGCAGTGGCACTGTGCCCATGCCAAGCATGGGATGCCAACTTCAGATCCGTTTATGTGCCAAAAAGTAATAGCTGCAGAAGGATAAAATCTAGGATGAAAACATGACATCATCTCTCGAGGGAGCTAATCTTGGTGGTGAATAATGCTAAGCGAGGAACGTGTGCCTCCGTGCAGGAGATCACATCTGTTGCCAAATTCTGAYCCGCAAAATTTGTCTTTGGTTAACGTGAACACACTCCTTTTTCTGCAGTGTGTATCTTATGTGTTTCCCAGTCTCTCAGAAATTCAGAGCACAGTCAAGCCCCTCAGACCTTACACAGGCAAAACTAGCCTATATGGAGCTCTTTAKCTAATTAGACCAGAGGGCTTGTCCAGTGTGTTCCTTTGGTCCAGAAAGGAGCAGGTGGCAATTCCAGCTGGAGTTTGCCTCAGTTCCCACCACTACATTCATGCTTCTCCTCCTACAGTCTCCTAATGGGTCATCATTCTGGGCATGAAGTCATCAATGCAGGGATTAATTGCCTGAAGCTCCAAAGAACCAGGAATTAACACAGCCTCCATAAGTATCAGAATTTCCCCACCCAGTTATTTAATCTCTGTGCTGCAAGAAGTTGACAAAGGTTCACAGCTGCTGTGAGGAGGGACCTGGGAAAGCACAGCAAATTCTAACCACCCACAGTCTGAGAGAAATCTGCCATCAGAACCTGCTCTAGGTTCCAGCCTTGCTGGCATTCAGCTATGCCCATGCAACAAACCTGCCTTATCACAACCTGCCGTGTGACTCCAGCCAGGATGAATGATGTTTCTGGGATGAAAACCAATGGAGTGGGCTGAGATTTGAGCCAGGGGCCATGGGCTTTGTGCAGCTGTTTGTGGAGCTGCAAAGACCTGGGTTAGAACAGATATTGGGAAGAAATTCCTCCCTGTGAGGGTGGTGAGCCCCATCCACCCTGGCCTTGGGCACTGCCAGGGATTCAGGGGCAGCCACAGCTTCTTTGGGCACCCACAGGGAGGTGAGGGTGAAGTTGGTATCTTCCCAACATCTAATCTATGTTTCTTCTCTTTTAATTTAAAACCCTTTTCCCTTGCCCTATCACTATCTGCCTGCGTAAAAAGTCACYCTCCCTCTTTTCTATAAGCCTCCTTCACTTCTGGAATGTCACAGCAATGTCTCCCTGGAATCTTCTTTTTTCCAGGCTGAACAACCCAGCACTCCCAGCCTGTCTCCATAGGAAATCTTCTTCAGCCCCTGAATCCCCCACCACATCTTGTTCTTGTAGAAATACTTTTGATTGATCTATAACAACCATTAGTAGAGATAGTGGTGAAGATTCTACTTCAGCAGAATTCTGCTAAGTTTTTTGATTAAAATTGAGTTGGTTGAATTTTTTTCCCATCAAAAAAATGTCAGGCATTTTCCCATCCCCTGCTCTCTGAGGGCAGACAGCAGAACAGGAATAATAAATAATTATAAATAATAAATAATATAAATAATAATAAATATATAAATAATAAATAATAAAAACTCCCATTTCAAAAACAAACAAACAAACAAACAAACAAACAAATAAATTTTGAAAAAGGACAGGGTTGTGTGCTGCATTGTTTTGTTTTGATTAGAACATCACAGGAAAGAACCTTCGAACACCGTCAGGGGTATCACATCATCCCATTATCCTTGTCCTGCTTGATCCTACACTTTCCATKGCAGTTTCTGGTGGGTGTGTTCTGGCAGGCAGGCTCCCTGGGATCCCCAGCCCTGCAGGTTCTGTCCCACACCCTGACACACATGTTTTGGTTTTACCTTTTGTCACAGAACTGAAATGACTTTGTTTCCACGGCACACAAGGAGTCCTGGCCCATCACCAGCATTCCCAGGCACTGTGCTACGAGCAGGTGCTATCAGGGGGAGTTCAATAATATTTGAAAAAGTCAAAAGATTTTTCACAGAATTTTTCATGTCAGAGTTGGTTGAGGTCCTGCTAGAAGAAGAGGATTCTCCCAAACATTGCTGCTTAGGCACCCATGTCCCTGCAAAACTGTGCAAGGGCTCCCTTTGGCACCCAGAACTCCAGGGTTTGGGAAGCAACACTGCCATCCCTGATTTGGGGATGGTAATTTGGGTTTTAAGTGAATCTGAAGAAAATTAAACCCAAGCCAAAAGAGACTCCCATCCCATTGAAAACATGGATGAATCTTGTTGCTCACTGGATACTGTCTGCCACCATAAAACAGGCTAAGGAGATATCCAAGCACCAGCTTAAAAAAGTGTGATTTAGAAAACTATTCAAGATTATGAATTTTAAGAATTGAAAAGAAGTAATGACAGTGAACACTAAGAAAACATGATTATTCAGCATCAAATCTTCCCAGCTGTGCTTTTCATAAGCTCTGAGAGAAGCATTCACTCCCCTTCCCAAAATTCAAGAGACAGTAAACTTCACTTTATTTTTTTCAGGTTTGAAGGAAATAGCATGAAAACACTTGGTTATGCTCACAGAACAATGCCATGCAGCCCAATGAGTGGTTGAAGAAATTAACAGAGTTTTGTTTCCATGTGGGGGCTGTCACTGACAGTCACTGCAGGAGGAGGGAACTGATGTTCACACTCTACACTGACCTTGGCACAGTCCAGTAATGTCCCCACCAGCCCTGGAATTTGCAAGCTTATAATTTAACCTCTATATTTAATTCTTTCTAGATTTATAGGAACAGATTTTCCATTGTTTATATTTATAGGTTAAACTAACTCCCAAGTTAAGAAAGTTATTCCCCATGGTGTTTAAAAAAAATAAAATAGGTCTAGAGAAATTTACTCAGGTATACAACCCATCTGAGGCCTTTTGGGTGTAAGACTCCTAAATAACAGTTTGTAAGTGGCATTCAGAAATTAGAAATTAATTTTGTGTTCAACTTAAGAACATAGTCAGGAATTATTTAAATTAAAAATGTAAATCTCCATCAACATGGTGGAATTGGAATAATGCTGTAACAACTGTAGTTAAATATAACCATCTATTGAAAGAGTAAATACATTTTGTTATACATAASAATGCATATTCATATGATTTAAATRTTTGGTGCTATTTTCTGCCTCAGCTATTGAGAGATTGCCTGTATCCACATCTTTGTAATGATGAAGGGATCATATGATGTCTCACATTTTCCTCTGTAGACTGGGAAGGGGTAGGAAAAGGCAGTGATCCAAGCAGTTCCCATCACTTCATGTCAGAAAGAGAGGAAAGAAGAATAAAAGAACACACTAAAAGGCAGCCACAACTGAGCATAACCCACAGATACCTTCTCAGAGCTCTCTCTGCATACACAGAAATGTATCTTATACAGAACATTGGCCTATGGACTCCTCAAAGGTTTCTGATTAAATAAAATAACTTAGCTACTACCTAAATAAGTAGACCACTACTTCTAGCTAGAGGAAAATCTATTCCTGTCAGGATCATCAGAGGTACCATTAGGGTTTTATCAGGTCATTTTCCCAAACTTAAGCAGATGCTGATGGAAATGCAAAGGCTCAAAAACAATATAAATTAATGTCAGGCCAGATGTGGTATCATTTCCATGGTTCAAGTGAATAACAGTGCACGTTAATTCTATACAGACCATCTGTTTGAGGATTTAAATTTTTTCTTCATTAAGTAGACGGGAGAGGAAAGAAAGTTAATATATTTTGTGCTTTTTCTTCCTCCCCTTAGCTTCCATAATCTTAAATGTTAGGGAATTTACATATCCAAGGGGGTGGGGGGGGCGTGGGGGGGTTAATTGGTGTTTGCAAGTCTGATGCAAAATTTTCAATCTCTTTCTCAGAGCAGTCATTTGAGACTGTCCTCTCCTTCCCTTATTTGCCAATAGTTTGTATCTTACCTTGAAAGAGTGCTATAGAAAGCAAAGGTCGTATCAGCAGTTAGTGTAAGTGCTAATAAATCCTTGGGAATTCATTGAGATTCACTGTTTTACACCACCTGACAATTTCCCCCATCTCTGCAGGCAGACTAATACGCAGCTCCAGGGGAATATTAATCAGGGACAGAAAACCTGGCACTCGTGGAATAGTAAAGGTGTAACCACCTCACTTGCAGGGCTGCAATCAGCTGAGAGAGGCTGGGGTCAAGCTGATCTGCCCACACTTGCTAGGGCTGTCTATTTTAAACATAAAATTACCTCTTTTCCTTCCGATTCACCATGCCTTCAACAACATCCAAGGCTATTTCCTGACCCAGAGAGCTGAATGGATTGATGGTCTGGTAATGAACACCTTGAGCAAAGATGACTGACAATAGCGGTGAAAATAAATCGACCTGGAACATTTCAGATTACCATTTAGCCCGTTGCCTAACGAGGTTCTCATTTCAGAAGAAGCTTTGGCATTGTCCCACAAATTGGTTTATTAGAGCAGCTACCGTGTTTCCGGATGCCAGAAGGACTTCCTTGCAAAGCCCACTATCTTCTTCTTCTTGCAAAGCACCCTAATCAGCCTCACTTCACCCAAGTGCCAGGAACAAGAGGCTATCATCTCATTGTGCTGTGCTAATTATCCTCATCACCAGCTCTATTGCTCTGCTAAATGGCCTTTTCTGAAGGAGCAGCGTTAAAGTGAATGTCTTTAAAGCGGGATTGGGTTCTGTGCTCTCACATTTCTCCCACAGTGGTACCCCAGACTTCACCCTCCAGCTCCGAAGCTCAGGGCTCTCGCTGGTTTTGGCAAATCATTCAAGTGTAGTTCCAGCAAACTGGACAATAATTGCACAACACTGTGTGCAGGCGAAGGAGAAAAGTGTGAATGCAAATCAAAAAGATTTGTGACCCGATCTACTGGGTCACATAGGGTCCTTCAATCATGCAGCTTGGAGCTGCTCGTTATGGACATTGAGTTTATGTCACAAGAAGATAAAATTTACATAAGAAATAAAAGCAGTGAGAAATGTCACTTTCCACATTATCTTGTGGCAGCAAGAAATATAGAACTTTTTTTCCCTGAGTTCTCATTTCCGAATGCCCTTGAGGAGTGTATTTCTGTGTTTGTGAATAAAGACTGGGGAATGTATCACAAACATGTGCAAGAGTTCCCTTTATGCTCAAAAAGGGATCTTTATGGAAACCAAATGGTCACAGAGGCACACAAATCTTATCACAGCATCGTTCATTTGCCAAGTTTTCCTTTCTGTCCATGAATACAGATGATTGGGGATTCATTAAATAAAAGTACTGTGCACACTCCATTTGGTCTTCTGCTTTTAACGAGCTGCATAAGTGACAAGCTTTCATAATAAAACAACTTGTAATTAAAGGGAAAGTACTAATACATTATTGAAATAATAAAAAAAAAATCTAATTACATGTTAATAAAGTGTGGACAAGCATCTGTGGGAATCCCCATTCAATCTAGCCCAAAAATGAGAACTAACACATCCAGGAAAGTATGGGTTTATTAGCTACCTCATGAAAGCTTTCTTAGAAATTACTAATTCCCTGTAATTATTGTAATTGAACCAATTTTTTGAAGTATTCAGCACCCATCCAGTGATAATGGAAGGCAGCAGGTGTGCCTCAAATCATGCCTAAAAATTGAGACTAAGGACCTAAATCAAAACCCAAGTTAATACAAAAACTCCTTTTGACTTTATTAAGCAGTGACAGAGCCCAGAAGTCAACATTGTCTCCCTCTGAGTGAAAATGTGGGCGAGGCTGTGGCAGCTTTTGCATTTTACAGCCTTTGTGAGGTGAGAGAAGGATATCCTACCTCAGCTTCCCTGCAGCAAATCCTGAGGCTTTGGAGAGAATATTGAATGTCTAAGCTAGAATTTTCAAATGTCTCCAAAGGAAATACCCATTAAGTTTTAGTTTAACTTAGGTCCAGACCACCTGAAAGGCTTCAGATCTGTGGCTCTTTTGTGATCAGTGTGATATTGCTGTTTTGAATGTAAACATCAGCTGCTCCCATGTCAGACTGTTTTCCTAGAACTGTTAGATCCAATTTCACCTTGACAATGATGTTAGTTAATAATTAGCCAGATAGGTAGCAATACTGAAAAATAATTTTTACCACTGGATAGACCTTGCAGTATGATACACGCTGCAGCCAAAGCTTTAATTATCACTCTTTATATTTTAAGAAACATTTCCTTTCTCTTCAGTGATTAGTTTTTCTATTCAACTCTGCCATGTATTCTACGCTCAAGAAATCAGTCACTCATAAAAAGTGTATATTTACATGCAAAAATACTCAAAGTAATTAAAAGAATTCAGGGATTTTTTTTTGTTTCAAATTGCTGGTCAACACTCATAAATTGTTCATAAAATTCTAATGGTAGTGCTGTAGAGGTACTTGTTTCCAAAATAATGATAGGAATTAGCTCTTTTTTAAAATAACTACAGTAAGACAGAAATTGCACTTGTTTCCAGGATGGTCTTCTTCAAAAGGAAACCTCTGTGAACCATTTGGGTTGTTACAGAGCTCAGCTCTCAGCCAAGGAAGACTAGGAAGGCTCTTATTTCCTTTACAAATGGATAGGATTCAGTTATGAAATGTATTAAAGAGAACCATTCCTCAGGTGAATAAAGGATTTTGACAAGCCTGTCCTGCTGGAAGGACACTCAATCACCAGAATTATCTTTAATATTATCACCCACGATGGGCTAGAGCTGCATTTCTGAAATGTCAGTTCATTTGGTAATACCTAGATGGGTAATCACAGGTACTAATTATCTTACTTTCAGAACAATTTATGCTCTCCTTTGAACATTAAGCTTCTTCACTGGATTTCTTCAATCCATCTGGTGACTGGATCCCTATTATCCGTGGGGCTACCCTTTCCATATTAGTCTGTGGGGACTGAAAGATGCAGATTCCATTAAGTTAATGGGAATCACATGGCAAACCCTCATCATTCCATTTTGAAAATGCAGTCCCACTGGCTAAGTGAAGACTAATTCTAAAAAGGGCAGAGTGACAATATAGGGATTTTCCAGTGGACAAAGTAGTTTAAAAGTTCAATAAATTAAAATATTTGCTGGAAATACTTGTTACTGGTTTTCTGGCTTCATTTCTGCAGGACTGCAATGGACCCAAATAAATCTGTAACCTGTTATTATGTAAATTGTTACCGGGGCCACTTATAGAAAAATAATATCACCCTCCTTAATGACCTCCATGCCAAATAATGACGTCAAAAAACCAGAAGCAGCACACCAGGTAAAGCACTTCATTCTTAGCAATTTGATTTCTTTTCTTTTTATGCATAAAATTGTTTACACAGCACCTATAAACAGAAGGAGGAGCCACAAGACCCACAGACAGAACCTGCTCTTCACAGAGAGTCACCCAACAAAGCTCCTTGGAGCAGGATCAGCTCTACAAGGAAAAAGTTGTGACCAACACCTTTAGTCCACTCACACCAAGCTGGTTCCTAACAGTTCCCAGAATAAACCCTACCTCCCAGGGTAGCTGAGAGCAGGAAATGTGTCCCATATTTCTTGATCAGGTTTTCTGTGATCTGCTGAAGYGTCGGGCGCCKTCCCAGTAGCCTTATGTTGCGGAARAATTCTGGGGCGAGTGGCAGTGGGGAGCCAAGGAAATTTCTTCTTTCCACAGCAAGATTGTTTACTTTCCAGCGGCCAAACTCTCTGCAAAACAAAGCAGTTCTCATTCAGAAATGTGTCATTCAGACAAATGTCCTTCATTTGCAAATGACTCTGCTCTGCTGAGTAGCTGGGGGCGACTCGCTGGGAATTACAACRGGCCYTGACAGTGGTACTCTGTCATGTGTYATAGACAGGACAAGCAACGAGGGTTATTTATTACAAGTGGAGACAGTACTCCATAATAAAATAATTGTTGGGAAAGAAATAAATAAAAACCAAGCCACTTAGGTTGCTGCTGCTCCTGTTGGTTTTGTGTGGCATCCGAGGTACACACAGCCCTAAAACAACCAGATGTGCCAGAAACTGAAATGAAAGCAATGACTTCCCCAAATTTGGACCAGATGCAACAAGTACTTTCATTAGAACAAGGTAAATTTTAAAATAATAACAAGAAAAAGTCCATGTTCTTTGCCTTTTGATGTTGTCAGTTAGGTACAGAAATTGATAATTTGAGTAATTTGGAGAAATGCTGTCACACCACAATTGACCTTACTGTGATAATTCCAATTTTCTGTACTTTCGGCTGCCATTTTGAGAAAATACACAGACAGAAAGAAAAGTGATGACTTTTCAGTTGTAGGAGGGAGATAAGTGAATTCAAAGACTTGTCCCCTTCCCCTCTCCAAAATAAATCAATGACAGCAGGGAAAGCAAACAAGCTCATTGCACAGCAATAAACACATCTTTTATTCATTTACTTGCCAATTAAGATACCAGAT